ATCCAACACTTCTTGGACTACTTTGGAAGGTCTTGGAAAATCGGAGGTGGAGCCTGGCTAGAGAACGTAAGACACTAAAGGTGAAGCCTTGGTAATATCTCATCCCTAACCCCTTCCTGTCCCATTCTCTCTGCCTCTCCGCTCCCTCTCCACCATGATGAAAGCTGCTCCACAGCACTTTCCTTGTAATGATGGACTTTAATATTCCTATGTATTTGGATCATAAGAATGGAAGGTCACTAATACAAGTAGAAAAGAATGCATGTGATTCTGTGTTTAAAAGTGCAAGGTATTGTTCGAGTGGAAAAGACTACTGTCCTTAATCCATATTTCACAGGATTTTTAACAGCAGGCCTGTGAGATTTCCTGGCTACCAGGGCAGCTATAACAGGTCTTTGTTCAATTACAGGAGGATACCAGAAAATTGCTTCCCAGTGCAACAAGATTTGAATTTTCATTCTTAGACATTCATATACTAGGGGTTTTGCCTTTAGGCTTTCTTTAAAAATTAAAAAATCCTAATGCTTTTAGGAAAGCTGACACATTTCACTAATTCATACCGGTTACCAGGAACAGGTTACCAAGCTGACACTGACTTGACCAGGAAGTTGCTCCAGCTGGGTGCATGGAATGTTGTAAATAAATCACTTTCTCTCTCCCTGCTTCTAGGCTGCCATGATACTGTGAATGATATGAGCTGTTCCTCCATGTTCACCATGATACACTGAGTCCTCTAAAACCATGGACCAAAACAAGTAATTCCTTCTTTAAGTTGATCAAATAAAGTTCTTTATGTTACATTCTGTTATGTCAACATTACTGATTCATGTTTAGGCGGGAAAAAAGGCATAAAACCTATGGCATCTGTAAAGGAAACCAAGAGTGGGCCAGGGCCACACCCAGCTGGAGAACTTGACCTCCCTGGTTCAAAGACACCACACGATGAACAAGCGCACACAGAAGGTACTGGCTGTCAAATGCCTGAAACTGACTCAAAGTGGTGGGAGGAAATGAGGAGGGTGGAGGAGGAGTTCTGAAAGGGGAAGCTCACCCTCCCACCGTCTCCATCAAAAACTTCCACTTTTGAATTTATGTTTTGTTTGTAATTTTCTATTTCTACCTTTCTTACTAGAAGCTGTTTTGCTCATCCCAAAATAATTAACATGGGGGGGTTGCTGGAGAGATGGCTCAGCAATTAAGAGCACTGGCTACTCTTGCAGAAGACCTGGGTTCAAATCCCAGCACACATATGGTGACTGACAATCATCCATAACTCCAGTTCCAGGGGATCCAACACCCTCCTTTGACCAGCAGAGGGCACTGCAGGACACGGGTGCATGCAATACACTCACGCACATCAAATAAAATAATAATAAATAAAATGTTTTTTAAAATAATAATGAACATGACACATACAATAGACAGTCTCGAGAGCTGAGACCCTCTGCTTTTCATGCTTAGGTGGTGAGGGCCTCAAAGTCAGAATATACCATGAACCCCAAGTTATGGAAGCCAGACAAATTGGAGGGTCCAAAGGGTTAGTTTCATGTCTACAATGTAGAGCAATTTTCTAGTGGAGTCAGGACCAAGACCTGACCCCTCTCATTCCTTCCTCTCTTCTTCCTTCTCTTTTCAGTTAATTTACTCCATTCTTTGAACACAGATTACAAAACTGAGATGAAGAAATCATGCTGTCAATACCTTAGCATCACTCACAGGCAGCATATGAATTGCAAAACTGCCTTCAAAAAGTATTGGGGAAAGACAGCTATGTGCACATTGCATTTGACACAACTGATGGGTGAAACAAACCCTGGTTTTACTTAGAGGGTTCGACTAACTTTTGAATCTGAGTCTAAACTTTATAACATATGGATCTTTTCAGTTGCTGGTTTAAAAGTGACTTCCCGTAGATGTACACAAAGCCAGTCAATGGATGTAGAAATAAACTGTGGCTCTCAGGTTAAGCCATTGGGCAGAATAATTTCATTGAAGAACCAGAGCACTGAAAAGAAAATTCCCATTAAGATTTACCGTGTTTGGGGCTGAAGAGATAGCTCAGTGGTTAAGAGCACTGACTTCTCTTGCAGAGGACCCTGGTTCGATTCCCAGCACCCACATGGAGGCTACGAACCGTCCTTAACTCCAGTTCCAGGGGAATCCGAAGCCCTCTTCTGACCTCTGTGGCATTGTACGACACGGGTGCACTCACATACATGCAGGCAATATACTCATATACATAAAATATAAATATTTTTTAAGAAAAGAGTTACTGAGTTTAAGTCTTCAGCTTTCAGCAACTTGGAACTTTATGCGTTAGAGCTGCATGCAGCCGCTGAGATAATCTCATTCAATTACAGTTAGACATTAAGTGTTCAATTTTTCCCTTACAAAGCAGAATTATGGCTTGAATCTTAGCCCTGTTCTCTGCTGCAAGCCCTGTACCTACTTCCTGAGTGAAGTCTTTGTTTAGTTGGTTCTAAGAACAAGGACTTAAATATTTGCATGCACCATTTAATAGAATTTCACGCTGATTCAAGGTTCCTAACTCCTAAAGAACAGAGGACAGTGACATACACTGTTGTAGAATGCTGTCTTCCTGGTATGAAGTGACCATTACCATCTTCAAATGAGAGCAGCTCCTGCAGAGGATCATCACAAGACTAGGCCCACTAACATTCCCTCATGGGACAGGGAGAGGGCTCAGAAAGAGGAAAGTGAGGTCCTGCCCCATCCAGGATATATATATATATATATATATATATATAGCAATTTCAGGAGGGATGGGGTGGCACCCTTCTTCAGTGGTGTAGTGCCTGTAAGTTGCCTGTGTTCCTGAAAGTAACATGAAAATCATTGGTTCATTTAATTAGACTTGGATGAAATTGTTTCTTATGTGTCACTAGTGCCCTATGTGTGATAGAGATATTTGTTCAGGCTGCCCCAGTCATGTGAAAACAACCTCCTCCTCCTCCATCTCCTCCTCCTCCTCCTCCTCCTCCATCTCCTCCTCCTCCTCCTCCCCCCCCCCCTCCCCCTCCTCCTCCCCCCCCTCCTCCTCCCCCCCCCCCCCCCCCTCCTCCCTGCCTCCTCCTCATTTTCCTTTCTCCCTCATCCTTCTCCTCCCCTTCCTCCCCCTTTCCCTTCTTCCTCTTTCTGATTCTTCCCACCGCTGTTACCTTCCTTCTTCCTTCTTACTATTTCTCCTCTTACTATTCACCCTCCTCATAACCCTC